TAAGTGGGGGCAGTTTAGTCTTTGTACTACTAATTAGAGGCTAATCCATATTAAGGGTCGACTGATAGGGTTTAGTCTATCAAGTTCGACTGTTCTCTTCATCTTCTTCTCTTCTCCTGGTTCGAACTACTGTAGCTACAGAACAAACAACTGTCAACTAAAATATTCTTGGTACAACATCATAAATTCTACTGTCATATTTTTAAACATATCTGATCATAGAACTCAATGGCAATTTTATTTTGTACTAGAAAACCAGATTAAAAATAAAAAAGAACAGAAAATTAAATCCAATGACAAAATTTATAATTTCATTATTTGGATTTTTATGGCTAATATTTAACATGAAAAATGTACCTTGTGCAGTACACGATGAAGAGCTGGGTCATGAAGTTTTGACTGTGGGCTGCAATGAAAATATAAAATAATAATAATAATAATTAAACAATCCAAGAACAAGATGTATACAAAAGAAGCTTAAAGATTCTGACCTGCAAAGCCACCGATAGAGGTGTTGCAAGATTGCATCAGCAAATACATTTCCAGAGGTAACTGCATCTGCAAGACACCTCTGAATCAACTGTTTCAGGACACGGAATGCAGGTGCACACAAGCTAGTTTCATCAAAACCAATCTGTTCTCCAGAATTTATTTCCTGGTCAAATCCAAACAAGGCACCACCTTCCATTTCATTCACCTGGTTGCTCTTCAGAAGAGCATCTACAGCCAGGTGGTGAATCTGCACAATCATTGACATGTATCATTATGCATGCATGAATAATTTCAAATTGGAAATAAAATACATGATAAACATTTTCTGCAATATAGATTGACAACCTTAAGCTCCACAGTCACTTTTCTATATGCCCCAGGATAAATAAGAACAAGTTGATGGACCTGCTTTAGCAAAATAACCACCGAGTTACTAGAAATGCAAAAAAAGAACCAAAACTAACAGCCTGCAGAGACAAGTCTCAGCATTACCAGATTACACATTCAAACACAAGCATACAAAGAGAAGTAGTTAAAAAGAGTAACCTTCCAAAGTTAATGGGCTAAGAAAAGGTGAAAGTTTTAGATGATATACCCCTGTTTTAAATCTTAACTGTCTAGCACCTTAACAAGTTATAGACTAAGAAAAGTTGAAACTGCCACAAGTTATGCCTTAGTTATTAACAGTTTTACACTAAAAAAAAGGCCCTGTAACTTACTTCATCAGCAAAGCAAATCTCTTCTTCAACGATGCCACCTAGGTCTGGAATACCATCATTGGATATCCATAGCACCTAAAGACTCAAATGGAGCTAGGTAAAATGAGTTGCAAAACAACCAAGAAATCATGAATCAGGATAGTTTTCAACCAATAAGATTCATTAGCATGACCATATATGATCAATTTGGTTAGACATCAATGACACAAGTACATTTAATAAAAGGACTTAAACTATCAAGGACTATAAGATTATCATGTACAAATGAAAAACCTTGATTAATCTGCCACTCAAACTTGTTGAGCTAACATTTTCACCCAACTTTTATGATAAACAGATACTTGCTCATTTAGGATCAAAAACATAAACAATGACTTATTGCTTACCTGTTGCTGATCATGCAAAGCTCTTGAAAAGAAGATATCTGCTGTATAAAGCAGCCAATCAAGTTCGAAATTCCCCATCGGAACCTGTTCTTATTATATTAATATGGTTAATACAGTTTACTTCTCATCCACCCAAATTCACAAAAAAAGCAGGCAAATATTATATGGGACAATAAAACATTACATGTGCATATCTCGAAAGAGATATTCGCTCATTCAACCATTGTGAAGAAGCAGCGCATCGTTGCATTCCGATTTTCGCAGCCACAATCTGCCAACCAAGAGCCTACCGAGCACAGAACATCAACATGTGAATATTATTATGACCAGATGAATGTCAATTTTTTTTTTATTGTTAATACATGCATGTCAGAAAATGACAACAATAAAATAGCATATTTTTTTAAACTATCTACATATAAATACTTACCTGATAGTGGCTATCACGAACATTGCAGGGGATATTTACACAAGGAAAATCATCCAGAACGCGTATGCCTGACTTCATTGCAATAATGTTTGGACATTCAATGACAGCAATTGCAGGTCCATGGTGTTGTTGTCTGTAACAAATACAATTATATTTTGACAACTAGATTGAACAAGTAAAATTGGACAAATCAAAAGGACCTGCTACATTTGCAACCTTCAGAACTAAATTAAAAATGCTTACATAAAATTAAATAAATGTCAAGTTAAATATATGGATTTGAACTGTAACCTGTACTCATTTATTGCTCTTTGCAAAAGCTTTTCTGCATCTTTGACGTATCCAACATATTCCACCTGCACAATTTTATGTACCATTAAAAAAAAAGTAACATTAGAAAGACAATTAACATTACAGGCTTATAGCAACATTAAACTACAGTTTCACCTTGAAAACAATGCCATTTCCACGCAAAGGGAGCTCAATAGACAAAGATTGGCAAGCTTCACGGAATTGCTTTTCAAGAATAGATGGGGTCAACTCTTTGTTCTGGAAAGGATTAACCACCACAACAAGTGTTGTGCCAGATGCAGGAAAATATGCAACATATATAGCTCGTCCCTCAGAGATACTGGAATCAACACAAGTATATTATATTGAAAATTTCCTAAAGCTTTCTGTAACTACTAACGAAATTTGCATAAAACTGAAGGGCATCAACATTTAACAGACATATACAGATCAAAAAAGACAGTTTTGATATTGCATCTGCATTTACAGATACTTTGCAACCAAGCTTCAAAGACTGCATATACATCAAACATTTGCATGCAACTTTTGCAAGACAAATCTTTGTTCTAAAATGTTTCTTGGTAATAATCCAAAAATATTTGTCCTAAAATGTGATTCCAATTCCAACCAGGAAACAAAACCATTTGTTCTGTACAGGTGTTGGATTAGTGTCTCAGCCATCAAGGTTAAATGGATCAACATGTTATGTCATAATTCAATAAGAAAAAAAAATTAAAAATAGATAAAATGTAAAAAAATACAGAAATGTAGAACAAAGGGCCACATCTAATATTATTTATTCATCATATTAAACAAGAGTAGGTGTGAATGTGTGATAAATAGTAATTACTTTTATTAATAATGGAAATGGAATACCAAAAAAAATCAAAATAAGAGAATTAATATACAACCCATTAAGCCAACCAGGTCAAATGGTTCAATGGTTCAAGGCCAAGTCATCACATCATTGACTAAGTCAACTCTCTTTTTTGCAAGCAAGTTTAGTGGTGAAATGTACTCAGAATCCTTATCAGGTGATGGCTAAACCAATCTAACCAGACAATTTGACTGAAGGTTGAAAGCACTAATAAAAACTAATGTTCTAAAAATCAATTGGAACTGCATTTCCCTCCAGATTATATGGATCAACAGTTCAACCATCTAGGTCAAACAAGTCAAATTAAATTAAACAATAGAAATAGAACAATATAAATTTATAAAATTTGTAGAAATTTGGACATGTCTCTATAATAAATAAAAATACCATAAATGAGAATAATTTTATTAGGGACGAAAATGGCTAAAACTACAGAAAAATAATTAATGTCTAACCCATTAGTCATTGCCCATTGGCCGAGTCAAATGGGTGAACAATTTAACCAGTCAGGTATTCAGGTTGTTGACCAAGTCAACAGTTCTTTTGTTTTTTTTTTTTTGATAAATACCAAGTCAACAGTTTTTTGTAAAAAAAGTGATTTGGGGTGAACCAGACTCAGATAAATCAATCAATCCAGCCATCCAGTACAACCGTGGGTTGAAAAGATTGATATAAACTACATCATGCTTAGGTAACTTGTCTTTGTTACATAGGTTCTGATAAGGGCAATGGATTTATTAACTAATTAATTAAACTATTGTTTTTGTTCTTGTTGTTAGGAATTGTCACATGCACATTTACAAGTAACATCCAAAATGTAGTTATAACAGTCAGGGGATAAAGTAAATCAGTCTTCCGGGTTAATGACAGCTGAGTTAAATAATATTGTGTATTTAACAGCAACTGTATTGTAATTCATATCTTGGGACATAATATTATTCTTATAAACTTTTTTTTCACTTAAAATTTTTTCCTATGGTATTACAACATGTTCAGATAAAGGCCTAGAATCATCATAAAAACAAAACCTTTTTAACACTCCACTGGAGTTAAAGCCAGAATGCCTCACATTGTACCTATGGTATAAGTAAAAGAAGGACAGAGATTGCTCAAGATACAGGCATTCTGTTGTGGTCTTCATTTGGAGTTCACTTAGACCCCAGCTACTCTGTGCATCTCGACTCATAGATTTTCTGTCCACCTTACAGACACAACCAATCTGAAGGATGGCGCTAAATTCAAGTGGCACCTTCGTCTCATATATCCCCTGATAAAAGAGTGGACTTCCCATTAAAAGCTGAAATTATTGAATATTCATTGTTTTATCCAAAAAGGCACTACTTACAACAATGACAGAAATAAATAGCATAATTTAGTAGTTAACATAGCATGTACTCTAATAAAAATTTGGAACCAATGTGAGATACTATGCATGAAGATTGTTTCATTATGTTCATTCGCTTTTACCTTTTTCTTCTCTAGAGAAAATTAATCAAATAACCAAGGTTCAAAGTATCGGAAACACAAGGTATACCGGAAAGACAATTTTAAGAGACATATTGGGATATGCTTTAGATACGTATGGATACGGACAAAAAATCAAGATACGCATAAATATAGGAGAAAATTCAAATAAATCCTAAAAAATATATTACTAACAATACTTATAAATTTTATATGATTGTAAATAAGTGATTTAAATGTAAAAAAACCATAATTTAATGGTTTATATAAAGTGTGACATATCGGGATGCAATTAGTAACCGTTGAAAAATCATGGAATAACTAAAATGTGAATGACAATTTTTAAAAAACCAATATAATTAATCTTAATATTTATTAGTATATAAATTTTAATAATTAATTCTAGCATTTACTAATAAACACTTGTCACTCATTAAAAGTGAAAATTTACTTAAAATTAGAAATACATACGATCATAGAAAACAAATATGTGTGACTCATTGGTGAGCTTGTGGTTGTTAAAATCAAGTGACCAAAGTTCAAATCTTGCTATAGCTAAAATTTGAAGCTTTTACACTAACAAAATGAAATTAATGAGAGGGAATCATTAATTAAAGGAATGAATGAGAGAATTTGAATTAGGCACTAAAATTCAAATTTAAATTTAAATTTGCTTTGGAGTAATTGACTAATTAATGAAAGAGAAATTAGACTTAAATATAGGAGTAACGACATTAATGAGAGATTCGGTATTAAATATTGATTAACGAAATTAATAATGAACTGAAATCAAATGTATCGAACTGTATCAGACTGTTTCGGGCCCATATCGACCGATATAGATCCGAAACAGCCCGACATGGGCCCGTATCGACTAATACGTACGAAAAGAAATGGAACAAAGGAATTATACATGTTCCGTGTATCAGGTTCTTGCCGGAATGATACATATCGGCTGATACAGCCCAATACATTGCGATATTTTGAACCTTGCAAATAACATGGAAGAAATGAGTAGCCATTGAAGAAGATTAGTCGATCCAACCAATAATAACAAAGCTTAAGTTTTATTGCCTTTTTATTCATTTTAGTCAATCCAAGTTATCCAACCATAAACATATCAGAATCATGTTTCATGTTGAATGAAAAATCAAACTACATATTTTTTGGCAGAAGGATCACGCAAGTATCCATACTTTTCCATGGATCATAGAATAATCGATAGGAACAGGAATTTTCAACAATGTAGTCATGTACAGGACTGAAAGCAAAAACATCTGTGAAATAGGAAAAAAATAAAAACACATGAAAATCAGGACATCATAGCAGAGAAATTGAAGGTAGCAAATTTAAAAGGGCAGGGACACAGAGAAGAGTCAATACAACCATTTATGTTTTCATTTTTCAACAGAGTATACATGTTAATTACAATATACTATACCTCAACTTCTGGATCAGCAAGGTGAGCTGCAAGTCTTTTGCTTCCTTCCCTGAATTCATCTTCATCAGTAATCACCTAGCACAGAAAACAAAATGAAAATGAAGATAAAGTTAAGATCTTGAAGTTCCAACAAGTTATAGCAAGCAATCTGTCATAGTTTATAGTTGAAAACACTAGTGATACCTCAATAAGATTGAAACTAGGACGTCCATGAGGAAGAGTCTTATTAACACGCCTTCCAGGAAATTCTTCTGTAACTGGTGCTTTGGAATTGAGGTAAAATACTCTGGGTACATTTATGGGAACTTTAATCATGATTCCTTCCACAACAATCCAAGCATAAAATTGCCCTGGGTGTGAACTTGGGATGAGCTGTATTATCTGAACCATACAAGGTTGAGGTTAACATGCATCGAGTAACTAACCAGATAATAGTTCATAAAAAGCTAAAAAAAAACATTACCTGCCAGTATGAACGCACAAGGGACACTTCATGTCGTCGGAAAAATGAACTGACACCATTTCTACCAGAGCCTTGTTTCTGCCTTGCCACAGCACTAGACAACTTAGAAACTTCATCAGATTTATCTAGTCCCCTCAGATTGCCCAACCTGCAGAGATCCGACATGCTAAGTCAAACAGGACTTTATGCCAAAAAAATGAGGTTGATAGCAAGCTAACTGGAGCCAAACTTCACACATGTGAAGTAGATTAGAGCCAAATATTTGTTTCCCCACAACTTTTCAGATCTATTTGAATAAGAATGCAGGTAAAGTGGAAATATATGTATACATAACAATCTAGAAACACTATAATAGTATCCCATATATTTGGTATTTGCACTTTAAATATGATGAAATGAAATAGTAAATTTTCATTCCTTCAGAGTACCAATAAAATCATAAAGCACATCTGGCACACAAAAATAGAAAATAAGTTCTTATCTGTACTTCTACTCTTGTAATTTATTTGAATGATGATGCAGGCAAAGTAGAAATATATGAACTATAACCAAGCTATATAAATTCTTATAGATTCTGTTTTAAATTCTTAATGAAGGGTAATACTTTTGTTAGCTCCAACCATATTTTGGCACACTACAAAAATAAAAGTATCACATGTTATTTATCAATTTGCAGCACTGTGTTCTGGTGTGCTCAGTTGGATGGCATTGAACAATGCCCTATAATAAGTAATGACCTCGAAATACCAGTGGTAGTGACCGAAAAAATCTGATCATTATCATAAATAGCATAAAAAATTCTCTGCCACTTAAGTGGCACTTTTATGTATACTAATAAATAATGTGGATAAGAAAAATGAATATACCTGCGCCTCTTCCTTTCTTCTCGAGCATATTTCCATTTTCTCTTCTTTATTTCAAGCCATCCCTGGTAATCAGCATTTCTGTCAACATTTGTATCCGATATAGTATTTGGATGCAATGGCATGAAAGGTTGGTTCAGTCTACAAGTAGCATCAGTTTGTTGTGCCAAAGAAATCATTGAACTAGATGATTTCACTAAATGTTGTTTCCTGTTGGTTTCATAGCTACGAACTACAGGTCGAGGTCCGACTACAGAAGCACTGCCCTTGTTTTGGAAGTCTTCCAAATCCTCCATGTTCATCTCACCCAATACATGATTGGAGTTAATGCCAGAGAAATTTGTTTGCTTGGTATTATCCTTGTTCAACGAGCTGAAGACATCAACTATTTTTCTTTGTCGAAACTTGTCCTCCTTCTCACGGACCTTCTTATGCAGCCAATCAGGATGAACTACTCTAGGGACAGGATTAGCAACCTGACAAGTTCAATTCATACAGGGAAAAAGTAAATAATGCAAGCTTGGGTCATCTAAACCTATAAATAATGCTCTAGCATTTGGCACCTTCTGCATTGCTGCAGGTATGGTTATAATTTTTTGAATTGCTGAACTGAGTCGTTGCTTGTAATAGGACCAATCAATAATTGATCGAATTCCCACATCTGATGAAACCTTGCACCATTTGCGCACATAGAACTTCATAATTTCTACAAAAGAAAGAAAAACATATCACCTCAATCTTCTTTTCCATGTGAAAACACAGTATGAACCCAAGATATGGAAATAATGAAGGCTTATACCAGCATTAGTCTCAAATATAGCAACAGGAATGGCACGCTCACTTACTGGTGTGCCCTGTATACAAACAGGAGGAATGACTGGTAAGAGAATCTTCACACAAAATATTAATAATGGCAACAACAATAGAAATTATAGTAATAAAAATGAAGCTGTTGATGTCCTTTTACAGTTTAACAGCAACACAATTACCAATTTGTCTGCCAACACTTAATAGAGAAATTTATGAAACATGAGGCAAACAATGCTTAAAGGTAACAAGTTGAAGACACTCTGAAGAAAAACAGCACCATTGCTAAGTAACACTAGTAGTAGCTAATTTCAAGAGACTCGTACTAGTAAAAATTGTTGTATTCCCAATATCCACAAAACGGTAGTTGTCATACGATTAATTAAGCATGTCAACGTGGAAATTTAGCGTCATGGAGAATCAAGAAGCAACCACTTGTTGCCCACCCTAGTGTTGAGTCTGAGTACGGCTCATGGTGTTTCAAAGATTCTTGGGCCATGTTTGCAAAATTTTGAAATAGTTTTGGTGGCATAAATGTCCTTTTACCATTCAAAAAAAAAACACACACACAACTCCTGGAATGTCAAAACCAAGAGTACAAATTAAAACAAACTTATCCTTTTACTATTCAAAAATCACAACTGACTGAATAGTTTTGACCTACAAAACCACCATATATGGAGACATATTCAAACAAAATAACCAATCATATCCCTCAAGGAGGTAATGGAGAAATGACACTGACAATGAGAAAAAAAATGCAAAGGATTAATAGAAGCAGGCAGTTAACAAGAGAAATTCACTAGGAAAGTCATTTTCCTAATTCTACTTGTAACATCAAATCTTTTATATTGACGAGAGAAAAAATAGGACAAGACAATGATGTAAAACAAATATTAAATGGGTAACATATGCATGAAGATTTCATATAATGACCAAGGATGTGTGTATCAAACTTAGAACAAGAAAAAGGATGTGTAGTGTCCATTAATGCCCTGAAGAGCTAATAATGACTTTCTTCTCATCCAGAAAAATGAAAGGTTGAAAACATATACCTGTGGCTCACGAGCTACAATATACTGGCAGCGTAGCCCTTTATCTTTAACCATTGTATCACCAAGAAAATCAGCAAGTCGTTTTGCAGTCGTCACAGCACATGACTTTTGTTCTCCATAGTCTGCCAAGGACTTGCTCATGGTACTTGATTCCGATATGTAATCAAGCAACTCACTATCAGCGATATCAGTACCTTGACTCTAACATATAAATTTAAACTGTCAGTGTTATCTCATTTTACTGACCCTGTTGGCTCAACCTAAGCTACCGCATCTCTAATGCAAGAAATGGGGAACCCAAAAGAAATTTGCAGGCATACATAATTAGGTTACATACATCGAGAAGATCAAGCCAGCTGTTGGCAACAGATGCAACAGCTGAATAGCACTCCTCTAAGGTTGTCCCATGGAGGAACTTGTCAAAAACTTCAGCCTGCACACAAGAAAAAGAAAAAATTGAAGTTCAAAAATAATCCTTTTAAATAGAAGTTTATAATAAAAGGTATATTTAGAGATTAGACCAGTCTTACGAAAAGAGCCACTATCATAATTAATTCTTATTCATTTCAAGTAGAATGGGTAAAACCATAATTTTGAGGATTGTTAATACAACAAATTCTAAATGGAGTGGCAATACTTACAGGATAAGACTGAAATGGTCATGTAGGAAAAAATTGCAGGATTAAATGTTACCCATCTATCCCCTGAACCATTATATATTGATAACAAGAGCATCATTCAAATTACTTCAAACCCAATTTTCTACGAGCATACAAAGCATATTGAAGTGGACTGCCGCTTCATATGTGATTTATACATGTTTTTTTTTTTTTGCTAGATTGATATGTGATTTATACATGACTAGGATAATTGCTCTTCCTCACACAGTTACCACTGTTAAAATGACAGATATCTTCACCAATACTATGACTCATTCACATCATGATTATCTTGTTGGCAAATTAATCTTGCCATCACATCAGTTTAAGTAGAAGTGTTAAGAAAATGCAGTTGATGAATATAACATATTAGAATGGATTCTATTACATGGTAGCATTTACCTTATTGTGATTTGTGAATAGGTATTTTTTTTCTTTTTTTGTCTGTTTTAGCCCCTTCTAATTCTAGGGATATCTCTAAAATCATACATAATTTCACTATGTGTAAATAGATGTTACAAGAGGGAAGACAAATTGAAAACTCCATCAAATCCTTGCTCTTATTGTCACTACACCAATAAGAATGAGTAGCTTAATGCAAACAGAGGGCTACAAAAAAAAAAGAAAGAAAAAGCCAAAAGGATCATGTGCTGAAGAAGTGAGAAAAGGAACTAATGACTAATGATTGGACAAAAGTCAAACCCTAGGTAGAGTGCATTGGCAGAATAAGGTTCCGCTAGTTGAACTTGAAGAGTTAAGATAAGTCTTTGATAAGTTGAGGGATAGTTTGTAGGCTTGAATGTATATTATGTGTGTGTTTGTGTAGCCAACCTACTGATTTTAAACAAATTCACGTCAAGGCATCATCCAGTTATTTCCAACAACTTATAACATAAAGCAGCATGATTGACCAATAAGATAAAACTGTATGCTGCAGGTTGTTTGGAGCAGAGTGTTGAGCCATCAAGAAGCAACATATCAACAAAACAAGTGAGGCAGAAATGCATATGCTGAGATGGATGAGTGGAAAAACTAGATAGGACAGGGTCAGAAATGAAGTCATTGGAAGGAACCTCAGAGTGCCTCCAATAGGTGATAAAATGAGAGAAAGCAGACTAGGATGTTGTGGTCATGTGCACAGAAATCCATTGACAGCATCCATAAGAAGTGATCTGTTGCAAGTTGAAGGGGCTAGAAGGGCTATGGGCAGACCAAAAAGGACATGGGTCAAAGTAATAACAAATGATTTAAGTACTCATAATTTAACAATGGATATGGCATTACAGAACAGAATGGCAAAACAGGATTCATATAGCCCACCCCATACATTTGGGATAAGGCTTGGATGATGATTATATTTTTTTTATTTACAAGGTCAAGATATGATTAAAAAAAGATGAAATTTTTTGGTAGATTTTCCACATCCTAAAGAGGTTGTTTTTCATAAAACTAGATCATGCAAAATTTTAATTCTTTAAATTGGCTTTGCAAGAAATTCTCTAACCATTTCAATGTGTTCCATTTAGACAAAATCAAGAGGATTTAGAGTACAAAATTGAATTAAGGAAACTGTACAAATTTGTTCAAAATTTCATCTATGATGGCAGGTCACTTTAAGAAAATTAAAAAAGCATTCATCATATGTCCTTCAAACTTTAAAAATAAATAGAAATTAATAATGGCATCCATCGTGCATCCCCTGAACTTATAATTGTGGAGACTATATCTTGATGTATCTTATTAGTATAGTCCCTGTTGTATATTACATATACATCTTATTCTTATTTTCTCTTTCAGCCCTATATGGGCATTCTTGTAATTGTATATATCTTTTAATATATAAAAGACTCTTTGAGGTGGGGGTCAATCCATTCTTGACACCTCTAAGACTATTCTTGTTCTTTTCTCTATTCGGCCAAGAGTGTTGACATGGTATCAGAGCAGGTTGCTCTCTGATCTATTTTTTCTCTCTCTTGAACCTCACTAGAAGCAGTAATCCTGTCGTATTAGGGTTGTTTTGATCAACCCTTTTCTGTTCAGTCTTCTCTTGCGCAACCAGCAGGAGAGATTTCATTAGATCTCTCTTGGGAGACATTGGTTCGAGGCCAAACTTCAGATCTGGTGTCGCCTAAACCTGATCTATTCTCCCTACAAACAGCATCTGATTTGGTGAAGTTTTCGAAGGAGTTCTGATCTTCTTTTTGGGGCGGCAACACTGTACAGTTTCCTTTGTTGGACTGCAACAGCTTTGAACTTCATATCTGGTATCGCCTAGACCTGATCTATTCTACCTACGAACAGCATCTAATTTGGTGAAGTTTTCGAAGGAGTTCTGATCTTCTTCTTGGGGCGGCAATACTGTATACTTTCCTTTTTTAGACTGCAACTTTTCTGGACTTTAGTCCTTCTACATCAGCCTGCGATTTGAGTTTTTCTCTCCAGATTGAAGGGTTCTCTCAAGCCCTTCTTAACCTTACACTCAGTTTCTAGTTTGGATATTTTCAAGGACTGTTTTGATCAGCACAAGCTACCTCCTTGTTCTTGAAGAAGACGCCTGATGTGTTGGTAAATCACAGTTTTCTCTCAATCGGCTGATTCGATCAACCTATAACCCTAGATCTGGTGTTGTCCTAGGGTTTTCTTGCTTCCCATTTATTTGATTCAGACTTCAAATTCATATCTGAAAGCTTTTAGACTCAACAGTCTTAAAAACTTGCCCTTTTTGGACCGTCTTCTTGAGTTCTTGGTCGCTGAATTTGGTTCTCTTTGATATCCTTGTGCCTGGACTGTTGTTTTCTTGCTGAAATGGCCTTCAATAGAGACGATATTATTCCTATAAAACTGGAAGGATCTACCTATGGAATTGACACTATTGTTGTAGCACATGGGAGTAAGAAATCTACTACTGGTGGTGATTCTTTTGTTAAAGGTGATTCTCTGGCATCTATGGTTGAGGAAAACATTCGACAACTAGTAACATCTGCTACTTCTGCTCTTTCTGCTATTGGCTTACCTGGTGAGTTTTCTAGTTATTGTGCTTCTCCTTCTCATGTTTGGATCATTGACGTCAAGTAACCTCAATGAAACCCATCACAAACATATTGTTACTGCCAATGGTGAAAAGTTAAACATCATTGGTAGTAGTGATATGTCTCTTTAAGCTTACACCCACTGCATCTTTCCCTCTTACCAAGACCCTTCTTGTTCCTAATCTCACTGCAAATTTGATTTCTGTTGGCCAATTAGTTGATGAAGGTAACATTCTCATCTTCTCTCAGGATGGATGTTTGATTCAGGATCGGAACACTGAGAAGGTGAAAGGGAAGGGGCATAGGTTGGGTCGTCTATTTGCGTTGGAGTTCGAGAAGTCTCAAACAGCAGCAGCATCAGCTTATTTCAGTTCCTCCAGTTCTAGTTCCTTTCTGAGTCATAGAAATAATGTTTAGGACTTATGGCATAAATGTTTGAGTCATTTACATGCTAAAAAATTAAAATTTTTGTTTGATTCAGGCCTTATTAAGAATAGAGTCCCTCCCTTGTACACATTTGATACATCTTGTGTTTCTTGTTGCTTAAGTAAAAGTCGTACCTTACCATTTCCTCACATATCTGAGCATGCTACCTCTCCCTTCAAGCTTATACATAGTGATGTCTGGACTGCATCTGTCATTTCTCGGCTTGGATACAAATATTTTGTGCCATTCATTGATGATTGTACTAAGTACACATGGATATACTTTCTTTGCAACAAGTCTAAGGTGTTCCCAACATTTAAGTTGTTTTATGCTATGGTACAGGTTCGGTTTCAATCACAAGTGTGTATTCTCCGTTTGGATTCAAGGGGAGAATACACTGACAGAGATTTTTTTATCCTATTTGAAGAATCATGGAATACAAGTGCAACAAAGTTGTCCAGATACTTCTCAGCAAAATGGTGTGGTCGAGCGCAAGAATGGACATTTCCTTAGTGTTGTGAGGACATTATTGCAGGAATCTCATACTCCACCTTCTTTTTTGGTAGAGGCAGCCAATACAGCTATGTTTTTTATCAACTATATTCCTTCCTCTGTTCTTGGTAATATGTCTCCCTTTCAGAAGTTGTTTGGTCGTACTCCAAATTTATCCATGCTTCCTGTTTTTGGATGTGTGTGCTTTGTTCATCTTCCCTCTCGTGAACGCTCTAAATTGTCTACACAGTCTATCATGTGTGCCTTTGTGGGTTACAGTCATGACCACAAAGGATTTCTTTATTATGATCCCTCTATTTGTCGCGTTCGTATATCACGTAATGTTGTTTTCCTTGAGCACATTTCCTTTTCTGTTGGAATTGCTAGATTGTTTATACCATCTATTTCTATTTTTCCAAACTTTGATTCACAAGATGCTCCACCTCCTTCTGTTGAGAAGGACCTTCTCGTCTTCTCTCGCAAGCAGTTATGTGATCCAGCCCCTACGCCTGCGACTCTCCTTCCTCCCGGTTCGGATCATCATCTTACCACTGCTCCTGTAAGTGATACCTCTACTCGTATATCTAGACCTCCTGACCGCTATGATTTTCCTTTAAACTCTTTGTCTGTTGTCCTATCCTCCATAGATGTTCCTCGCTCCTACCAGGAAGCTAATAGTAGCCCTCAGTGGAAGGAATCCATGGATGCAGAGATTCATGCTTTACATGAGAATGACACTCAGGACCTTGTGCCTGCTCTCCAGTTGCATCCATTGTTGGGAGTCGTTGGGTTTACAACATCAAGTTGAAATCTGATGGATCTCTTGATCGATACAAGGCACGTTTAGTTGCCCAGGGATATAGTCAGGAGTATGGTATTGACTATGAAGAAACCTTTGCTCCTGTTGCAAAGATCACCATAGTCCATGTTCTTTTAGCAGTGTCTGCCGCTCAGTCTTGGACCATATGCCAACTTGATGTGAAAAATGCCTTTCTTCATGGTCAATTGAAGGAGACAGTCTACATGAAGCCTCCTCCTGGATACTGCAGTGATCGTTCTTTAGTATGTCGCCTCAAAAAATCTCTATATGGTCTAAAACAAGCTCCTCGGGCATGGTTTGAATGCTTTCGCAATGTTGTAATTGTTGTTGGATATAGCCAGAGTTCTTATCACTCTCTCTTTGTTAGGAGACGGCCTCGGGGTATTACATTCTCCTACTATATGTTGATGACATGTTGTTAACTGGGAATGATGCTGAGGGCATTCGTGAATTGAAACTATTACTTCAAAATTCCTTTCACGTGAAGGACTTGGGCCCTCTCACCTATTTTTTGGGACTGGAAGTACATCGTAGTGGTCGAGGGTATTTTGTTTGTCGGTAGAAGTATGCCTCTAACCTTGTTAAACTTGTTGGTCTTAATGATGAAAAGCATGTTGACTCACCATGACTCGGCCTAATATTTCTCATGTTGTTCAGGTTGTTAGTCAATTTGTTTCTGCTCCTCGTCAGCCTCGTATGACTGTTGTTCATCGCATCATTCAATATGTTAGAAGCACAACTTCTTAGGGACTGTTCTTCTCCTCCTCTCCTATTCAGTTGAGAGCATATGCTATTACAGATTGGGCTGGTTGTCCAGACACTCGTAGGTCCACTTCTAGGTGGTGTGTTTTTATGGGTGATTCACTCATCTCTTGGAAGTGTAAGAAACAACAAACAGTCTCCAAGTCTTCCACTGAAGTAGAGTATAGGGCCATGTCTTCGGTTTGCAGTGAGATTGTTTGGTTACGATCTCTCTTTATGGATCTTGGCATTCAGCTTCCTACTCCTATTCCTCTCTATGCAGACAATACAAGTGCTATCAATATTGCATCTAACCTTGTCTTCCATGAGAGGACCAAGCACATCGAGGTGGACTACCACTTTATTCGAGATCTTTTCACTACTGGGTCTATATCGCTTCCTCATGTAGCCTCGGACATGCAGATTGCTGATATCTTCACCAAAGCTATGACTAGAGTTTGACATCTCTTTCTTATAGACAAGGTAATGCTTATGTCTAGGCATCAGTTTGAGGGAGAGTGTGGAGACTCTATAACTTGATGTATCTTATTAGTATAGTCCCTGTTGTATATTACACATACATCTTATTCTTCTTTTCTCTTTCAGCCCTATATGGGCATTCTTTTTTTTTTTTTTGATAAATGCCCTATATGGGTATTCTTGTAATTGTATATATCTTTTAATATATAAAAGACTCTTTGAGGTGGGGGTCAAATCATTCTTGACACCTCTAAGATTATTCTTGTTCTTTTCTCTATTCGGCCAAGAGTGTTGACAATAATCTAGGTCAAAATCAGAGGCATAAGGTGTTAACAAGTGAATTCATTCGTATGAACCCATTAGTGTGACGTTAAGAAATCAAACAGGAAACATTATGGTGCAATAAAAGCTACCGATATAAAGCTTCAAATAATAACTTTTACAATTTAATCAATATATGAAGGCAAAGAATCAATTCTATGATAGGAAAAATCTAATAACACATGCAATTGCAAACTCCTAAGAACAAGATAACATACCTGGAAAACCTTGATAAGTTTAAGCTCACCCCTTCTCTTGATTTCAAATCCTTTAAGTTCAGCCAGGGTTCCATCATCATTAAAGACAGCATATCGCTTCTTAATTAAAATCCCTTCTTCCTTTGAAGCTGGGAGAATCATTGCCTACACAACAAAATGAGAGCAAATAATCACCAAGAAACTGATGAAAAGCATTTACCTCAAGAACTGATTATGTTTCAATTGTCCATATTCACCTTATATGGTCCATCCACCTCAAATTCAATGGAGCATTCGCTGTGAGTTGTATATGTCTTATTCACAGGATCTTTGAGTGTCTGGTTGGAAGTTGGCATTAGTACTTAGATCATATGCAACCCTTTCTCCCAAAGAGCAGAAGACAAATGAAAAGAACAAAAAGTAAAGGAAAAGAGGAACACAAAATATTCCTGGAAGCAGAGTTGATACTACTCGCAGTGAAGGAAGTTCTTTCTCACCTGATATTGATCATTTGTATTGTTTCTAGCCACATCAACATTAAGCATAACACAAGGGTATGATATTGTCAGCTTCTTCTTCGAGTCTCTGAAAATTGTTTCAATGGTCAGTACATGGAGAAATACCATGCAAAAGAACAAATCCTCATTTACTAGACCAAAGTATCCTAGACATTTGAACAGTAGAAACAAATAGTCTGTATAAACAAAAAGAATATGTTCAATCCATAGCACAGAAGTAAGCACTAATACATGAAATGAGGAGGATAAAACATGAATTACTTTGTTTTGAAGGTGAAATTCTCTGGAAAAGATCCAGGAAGTGCACACCAGATGCCATCTGTGTCCAATTCTAGAGGTCTCCCAATTTTTTCAACCAGTAGACGAGCATTCTGAATTATTTTTGCCCCAGTATAAGTGACTACTCCAGCCATTTCCATTGAGTACCATCTTGCACCCCTAGAAAAATCAAAGAAATGCATACACTGGCAGATGATCAGAACAAAAAGCTTCAAAGAAAAGAAAAACCATGGGAAGAAATAAAGTGATCAAAGGCAGAAGAAAACTCACTTGCGCATGACGTATCCATAGAACGAATTAAGAATACATTTATGAGCTAGCTGTAGAGAATCATATAGAACTACCATATCCTACAAATATGAAATATCCATAAGAAATCAATGATAAGTAGGAACCTGGATATGCCATGTTTACGAGTAGAACAAAACCTAATAGCCAAACAGTCAAAAAGCATTCATACTTGTGCTTCCTGGATGCTAATAGAATTTCCACTGGCTTTTGCCTCTGCTAGTTTTCCCTTCCAAACCTTATTTAGTCCTTTATACTCATACCTTCTATCTCTGAAACTGAAATTGCAGCAGTAGAAAACATTGGTTAGCCATATCTTAACATAGAACATTGACTGCTTGTAAAAATAAGCCAAAAAAGAAAAGGTGAAAACCTGAGGATATAAGAAAAATAGCTACTCACCTGCGAACAGTGTCAACATAGAAGGGATTTTCTCTCATGCATATTCCTGCCTCCCGAAGTTCAGTAACTGGCTTGTCAAGGACCCTTTTATAGGCCTGTTACAGATCACCAGATGGTAGCATCTCAGGGATCCTTGAGATAAAACATTCATAATAAATATTCATGTGTTTACGGTTTACCTTTTGGCAATACTTCTTTAGGCGCTCTTTCAGTTTTGACTGTTGCTCAGCCTTGGGCAGGTCAAGAAAAGATTTTGACAACTGACCATCTATGCCATCAACTAGTTCAGACTCCAGTTGCCTCTTCAAATGAAAATAGTCACTGCAGTATATGAAACATTATGACCAGAAATAATCATCAGGAGTTGTCTCTTGGAACAAACTTATCAATAATACATGAGACAAAGACTTGCCTTTTCTTTGCCATGAATGTTTCTCCACGCCAAACCCATTCAAGCTTTCGGAGACAAGTTTTCCCTGGACGATTGAAATCACATGCTGTGCATACCTCATCTGTAACTATTGATGGTGGCTGTAATTGCATATGAAGAAACTTCAAATCTTAATATATGCTAGTTTAAGCGATACTTCTCAAAGAACACAAATACAACCTAGAAAAGAATAAAATGCAGAAGAGAGATTCAAAAATTCACTGTATTAACGAAGTGAGATCAACAATAGAAAACTTTCATAATGTAGAAAAAAGTGTGTATAGATGCACCCAAATTACCTGAAGCCTGTTTGTTAAAATTATATTTGGATACATTGCAGCAACATCAAGATGATATATAAGAGGGCATTCCTCACGTATAGGTTCATCTCGCAACTTAACAAGCTGCAGTTTTGCAAGAAGGAAATTATTAAGAAATGATTACTATCAAGAAGAAAATGGCAAATTTGATATATGGTAGATAAAACTGATATAATATCATGAGTGTAGCTTAAACAGAGACAACAAGCTTCAGAAAATAGATAAAATTGGGATGCCAAAGAGACAACCTATTCTGTAGGTATGGATACATAGAGCAAAAAAACACTTAAATAGAGTGTCTAATGCATAACAAGATAGATGACAGAAACAGAACACCTTTTCCATGATAGCATCCTTCACTTCATCATAATTGGAAACCGATTCCATCTCCATCTTACCCTCTACTCTTATTGCATATTGCAGATCACGATCAAGGTTTCTGATTAATTGCTGGAAAAGAAAAGGAACATATCAATTTCAACTAACCAACTTCACAAAGCAACCTGCTTGTATACATTAAATAAAATTTGTACTGTATTACAAAGAGGTAAGTAACCTCTAGTAGATGTAATCAAAACCACATGTCAGAGAAGAAAGAAGCTTATAAGCATTTATATTTTCCTCAACCAATGAATGAATCCTACAGACAACCACAACTCAATAGCCAACAGAAAAAAAAAAATCCAATATTTGTCAGATTTAGATGGCATTTGGTAGCACCAAAGTGAACCTCCCACTGCTAAAAAACTTGCTTTCAAGTGGTTGGGAGGCCATTCAGTGAATCTCCAAATGCACCCTTCAATCACTAAGATTGCCTCTGGATATTTCTATTGTAAGATTGTGTCCAGAAACAGTTGGTAGTTTTCATCTGCATTTTCTGGATAAAATTGCCCCTCAATAAATGCTCATATTCTTTCATATAGACCCACATATCTTAACACCACCACCAAAAACCTACACTCTAACTTCTCCCTTTCTTCATTGACAGTGAACAGGCTCATCCTTGGAGAATCAAATCATTGGAGAACAAGTCCATTGAAAAACCTCAAGCCTTAATCAACAGTGAGCTCCATTCACTGAACAACACGTTGATAAACAAGCTCCCTATCCAACTTTCCAACTCCTTCCTTTTTGGATTTTTCTACAATAGCAGCTCCAATTCCTTGACAATGGAAATGAAAGCATATAAATGTGAATCAGTGTTCTCTGGTTGGCTTATCTTTGGGACTGAGATTTTGCATCTTGGGTCGCCCTAACCCCTTTGTTACACCTGTAAAATCTTGTGAAGATTGGATTTTTCATGAGGAAGTTCTGGTCTGAACAAGAAGGGTCACTTTTTCTGAAAAAAAAAAAAGCATACCACGTGAGTTTTTTTGTGGTTTCTTCTATTTGGCCGTTGTATTGAGCCTTGTACTCTAAAAGGGTTTTGATCCCTTCTTTAGTTCAGCAGGCCTGCAACCTTCCATTTTGTTGGACTGCCAGTCCTGAAACCTAGTTATTTGGATAATTTTTTCAAGAATCACATGTTATTTGGCTATTGGATTCTGGTTCTAGTGTTTAGGATACTTTCTAATTAGTTTTACCTGAAGAACTGCTTCGTGTTGCTCTTCCTCGGACTTGGACTCATTCTTGTTATCGTTCTGGACTGGAAACTGTTACCTGGATGGCTGATAAGGTTGATATCATACCTATGAAGTTCGATGGAACTAACTACAGTATGCGGAAGTTCCATTTTGATTTCTTTGCTGAAGGAAAGGATCTGGAAGATTATCTGAACGGTACAGCTACCAGGCCAGATGAAGCTAAAGCAAAGGCTTTTTTTATCAGCAACACAAAAGATTTCATTGATTAGAAGAAAAAATGTTTACAACAAGAAGTTGTGAAAGAAATCCAGCTTTAGAAAGCTGAAGCAAAGGCTTTTCAGCAATGGAAACTTCCATTGGTGCCCAGGATTCTAAGTTCCATTGAAACTCATATTGCTAAACCCATGAGAAGAATGAGAATTTCTTTTGTCATGTATGCTTATTTGAAGGTCTATTACCAGTCAAACATGTCTAGGAAGTACCAAATTGAATCTGAAATCTTTGCATATTGTCAAGGAGATAGGAAAATACATGAATATTATGCCAAACTTCTGGACTTGTGGACTGAATATGAATTAGTACATATTGACCTTTCTGATCCTCCTGAATGTCTTAAGTATCTTCAGAAACACTTTGAGAAACGAAAGGTGAATCAGTTTCTCATGAGGCTTAGACTTAAGTATGAGATAACTAGGTCTAACATTCTAAGCCGAGATACCCTTCCAAACTTGGGCTCAATGATGGGGGAACTCCTGAGAGATGAGACCTGACTTTTGACTGTTGCGGGAGTTGAATTTAATCAACCATCTTCCTTCCTTTGTCCTTGCTAGTGCATCTCCATTTCAGAAGCTCTTTGGTTGCCTTCCTGACTTGTCTAATCTGCATATTTTTGTTCTGTGTCCTCTGTACATCTTCCTTCTATTGGGTACAGTCCCGATCATAAGGGTTTCTTATGTTATGATCCTACTATTCATCGTATTCAAATTTCATGAAATGTTCTATTTCTTGAGCACATTTCTTTCTTTGCTGGAATTGCTCGATTGTTTGCTCCTATCTCTGTTTCACAGAATTTTGATTCAGAGGATGTTCCTCCCTCATCTTTTGGGAAAGATCTTCTTGTCTTCATTCGTAAATGGTTGTGTTCCAGATCCTATGCCCATGCCCCCCTTCCTGCCAACTCAGCACATCAGTCCCCTGATCTCCCTATAAGTGATATATCTTCCTCAGATATAGGGGTGGATTCGAGTCAAGCCAAGCCAAGCCAAATAACTAACTATTCGAGCTCGGCTCGCCAAAACAATGTTAGGCTCAAATTCGACTCGGTTCAAAAGCTCGCAAGTTTGAGCTCAGCTCAACTCGAGCTTGACTATGAGCCAAACTTCCTATAAAAAATAAAAATTATACATATAAAATTTATTTTTTTATTTTAAATACAAAAAATTATTTATTATCATACATATAAAAAATAAAAAAATACATATATAAAATATTATTATACATATAATAAAAATGATCTATTACATGATATATAGGCTCATGATTACATGATATAATATGATATATAGGCTCGTGACTCCCTCTCCATCTTCTCCTTCCTCTTTGGCTCCCTCTCCATCTTCTCCTTCCTCTTTCCTACTACTTTTTAAATTCTAGATCTTCTAAGTATGATATAGTATCAGAAAATATACAAACATTTGATTCACCAATAATAAACAACATATGACATTCCTGCAAAAGTATAACATCTGAAAAAATGGAAACAAAATCGGTGCACCAAGTTTTTTTTCATTTTGAATGGATAACAAAATCAAAGGGGACCTTATTAACAAGTATGGAAATGGTACAAATTGTTGGGCTTCTCAAAGGAATATCATCTAGCAATCACATAAAGAAGCGTATGTCAACAAATAAGAACAGATTTAAGAGATCAACACAACACACCTCATAGGAAGATGGATCCATCTGAAACCTAGTGGGAAGATCAGATCTGAAAACCCCACTTTCAAGGCATTCCACATGGCCACCTATATATGTCTCACTCTCTAGAAGGTGATTATTGTAGAACTTCTCTGGGTCAGTTTGGTGCTTGTTTGGGCAGATAACATGTGCCTTGTATGCCTGTCAATATCATGAAAGCAGGTTCAAATATCAGGCAAAACAGCAACCATAATGGATTAGAACTTGCCCCTCAGTTTTTGACATTATACAAAAGCATTAAACTAGAGAAGTTTTTTTTTTGATAACTAACATTAAACTAGAGAAGATCGGAAACTAAAACATTTGCAAGATCATTAAAACAAGGGGAAGCTAAACAATCTAGAAATAAGTTCTTCCCAGGAATTCACCTGAACCATAAGAAGCATTTCACAAAGGGTACCACTCCCTTTACGCAAGACCTCATCAGGTGGCATAGGTATTATAGTTGCAAGAGAAAAAATGAATGGATGAACATAGGTCATGTACAAGTAGTAAGTTGCAACGGCATCTGATACAGAATATGAAGCCATCATCTGAAAAACAAGAGACCAACAATCCTTAGAAATATTGCTGATGAAACTAATCAATGTCAACAGAAATTCAAATTACTGAAACCTAGCGAGATGTAGTTAACAGTATATATGAATGAAGGATCACTGATAAGTGGTTAAAGTGACACTTTTGCCACTACCAGATGAGTTTCTTTTCTCTTTCACTACTTTTGGGTTCATTATCTTCCTTTTGATACTTCTTTTCATTTTAAATCACTTTATTTTGCACATAAAACACCTCTCTAGAAAGCTAAGAGCTACTTTTCCTAATATTATATATTAAGTCACCTTTAGGTTCTAGGACAATTAAATACTTTTCTGATATTTTTTGCCAGTAAGAATAAAATTACAAACCCACCATCCCTTTTTGATAGAAGGTGACTCAGTAAACACTATTAGATGGGCAAAAGGAATAGGGAGAGAACTGTAGGAATTGTCATTTATGCTAAATGAAGCACATTTGTTCTTAAGAGCATGCCCCCATATGGTCTCATGGATCTCAAGTGACAGAAATGAAATTGCCAATGAATTAGCTAGGTTAGGGATTAATAGACCAGGAATGTATCGTAGGCCTTCAATGCCATAGATCATTCATGTATGCTATTATGCAGTAATCTTTATACAGATTTGAAAGGACTTGCTTTGTTTTGCTCCCCCTTATGAAATCTTAATCATTATGGTTTAAAGGCTAACATTAGAAAATTGCTTTAGAACTAAAACAAGTTCATAACTGATCCATGTGTGTGTGTTGTGCTTGTTTGTCTGCATATATTTATTCAATTATGACAAAGCACTACTGTCTTGTTAATGGGGAATGCCAGGACCTAGGTCTCTTTTGTAATTTCGTAATCTTTGTAGTTTTGATATTCTAGTGTTTTGTCAGCTTCATGCTGTTTATGTAATGGCCCTACTTTCTAGCCTGGACAGATTAGGGGTCTCTTAATAAAGCTCTAATACAATGGCATTTGTTATTTTATCAAAAAAAAATGGCCAAGCACTTATGAAATCATAGTTGTCAAGCTGCTAAATCAAGATTAAGCACCAGGACAGTGCCTTATTACCTAGGCAATTAGGTGCCTGCCTATGTATTGCCTAGGTAAGGATTTTATATATAAAAGATCTGGATAAATTTAACTTGTTCCCTATTCTTTTATATATTTTCTTGTTTCCCGGTTGATATAGCAACTAGGAAACATTAAAAGTGATCAAACTTGAAATAATCAGACATTAAAAGTAGAACTCAGACAACATAACATAGCCTACGAAACTATGGCATGGAATCCTATAATGTTAATGCAAGAGAGAGATACAGAGAGAGCATGCAGTTGCAGGTGTTTATTGAATCAAGGGAAAAAAGCCCATTATCTAATGTTGGTCCCAGCTATCCAGGGTTTTGGGATGGGTGGGCCAGATAAGAACCAGTTCTCAGGGATTTTACACCAAAAAGGTTCCTCTCAAATTCGAACCAATGTTCTTAGCTTGTCAGCCCAAGATTTTACCAAAGAATAAGACAAAATAGATAAATGAAGGGATGGTTACCTTTTAATGTTGAAAGAACAAGGCTATAGAGGAGAGAATTTATAAGTTAATTGCAGAGATATGAAATTGTGGAGCACCTATTTTGGTTACAGTTATAAAAAAATGGACTACAAAGGATTATTTAAAAAATTTTAAAAAAAGACCAAATGAAGGGCAAAGTCTATGATGTTACAGAGAGATAATGCTTTGTTTTACTCAGAAATTGAGGAAGAAGAAAAAGAGGCCTCTTCTGAAGAATACACTATTATGATTCGGCCAGCCCTTGAGTTTTGTTAGTCTGATAACAGCCAAAAAGAGAGAAGAAGAAAGAAGAAAGAAAGAGAGAGAGAGAAAAGAGGAGAAAAGGAGAGAAGAAAAGTCTGGTTCGAATGAGAGAAAAATTACCTCTCCCATTCGGCCAGACATGTTTTATATTACTAACATAATGGAAAAGACACTTGTGCCCTTACTTAAGTGAGGGACACTAGTTCTAATTTAATATTACAGATAAGCAACCTCAACATAAGTCTAAAGATAAAATACCCCTACACTAACACTCCCCCTCAAGCTGGTGAATATATCATATAATCCCAGCTTGTTACATATGTAGTCCACTCTTCCCCGACTCAACCCTTTAGTAAATAAGTGTGCCCATTGGTTCCCTGTGTTAACATATGCAGTGTCTATCACTCCATTCAGCACCTTCTCTCTAACAAAGTGACAGTCAACCCCTATGTGCTTGGTTCTTTCATGAAACACCGGATTACAAGAAATATGAACTGCAGCCTGATTGTCACAATAGAGCTTCATTGGAGTTTTAACATTGTATCCTATCTCCTGTAGAAGGTTCCTTACCCACACTAATTCACAAGTAGTATGTGTCATAGCTCTATATTATGCCTCTGCACTGCTTCTCGCCATGACTGTTTGCTTCTTACTTTTCCATGTCACCAAATTACCCCCAAAAAAAGTGCAATAGCATGTGGTAGACCTCCTATCAGACATAGAACCGGCCCAGTCAGCATCGGTATATCCTTCTATTTCAAATTTTCCACCACTTTTGTATATCAAGCCACGTCCAGGAGCCCCTTTTAAATACCTCGCAATTCTTAGAACCGCATCCCAATGAGGAACCAGAGGTTTCTGCATGAACTGACATACCACACTAACCGCAAATGAAATATCTGGCCAAGAAATGGTTAGGTGGTTCAATTTACCTACAAGTTGTCGGTATCTTCCAGGGTCTTCAAACACTCACCCATTTCATTGCTCAGCTTAGTATTTGTTTCCATAGGTGTTTCAGCTGGTTTAGCACCTAACAAACATATTTCCTCCAGCAAATCAACCACATATTTCCTCTAACACAAATTAATACCATGCTTAGACCTTGCTACTTCTATCCCCAATAAATATTTCAATTTACCAAGGTCCATTGTTTGAAAATGTTCCTGTAGAAAAGTCTTCAACCTGTCAATGCCCATTTTATCATTCCCGGTAATAACAATATCATCTACATACACCACCAATAGCAATTTTCCAGCTAAGAGTCATGACTAAAGATTGAAAAGACAAAATGACAAAATATCTATATCCATTGTATGACATCACTTTATAAGGACCCAAAACATCTGAATGAACCAAAGAAAAAGGACTCGACACACGGTTATCAACCCTAAGACTAAAGGGAACACGATGATGTTTCCCCAACTAACACGACTCACAATCCCCAATAAATATTTCAATCCACCAGCTTCATGCCCTCCACCAATCTTCATCCCCGCCTTGAGATCCTGAAAAACACACGAAGAAGGGTAAAAAGTAATAGAGCAATTGAGTGACTTTGTCAACTTACTAATAGACATAAGGTTAAACAGAAATTTAGGGACATACAAAACAGAGAATAAAGATAAAGGGGTCATGTTAACATTGCCAACACTACAAATGGAGGATGTGGAACCATTAGCAAGGGTAACTGATTGTGATGTTGAGCAATGAGAGAGGGAAGAAAACACACCTGGAGTTCCAGCCATGTGATCGGAGGCTCCAGAGTCAATAATCCAGGGATTGGGTGTGGCTGCTAAACAAGCCATACCTGAGTGTGTGAGAGTAGTCGTATTCTGCTGAGATGTGGATTGGACAAACCTCTCATACTCATCACGGGGAACACTTACCATCTCCTTCTCGGAAACATCTGTGGATGTAGGAGGCATCTGATCAGCTGAATGACTCTCCTGTCTGAAACTGGTGTCACTAGTCATGGCATGATTGGCCCAAGTTGAGGGTGGACCATGCAAGTCATAACAATAATTAATGGTATGTCCATCCTTACCATAATGAGTACACCTCCTCGGACCCGAGCCACGTCCTCTGTCGCGGGCTCCCCCTGAATCTCTACCTCCAGTACGACCACCACCACGGTTATATATAGGTCCACCACCACCACTATGGCCATATACCAGACCACTACTACCACTACGGCCAGACTGAGCTCCCCGAGCTCCACCTCTAACACCACAACCCCTTGATACTGCAAAGGCTGATCTATTAGAAACATTAGAGTTCTTAGTAGATCCAATAGAAATCCTCTGAAGTCGAGCAAACACCTCTTCTAAGGAAGGGAGAGCTGACCCTCCTAGTATCTGAGCCCCCACTGGTTCATACTCAGATTTCAGCCCCACCAAAAATCGAGTCACATCTAGTTGTTCTCTCTATTGTTGCTGAATTTTGACATCAGAAGTGAGGGGGTGATAAACATTCAACTCATTACGAATGTTTCTCATACTAGCATAGTACTCCTCAAGACTCTGATTGCCCCATTGCAGATTAAAGTATTCCTAATACAGCTGATATACTCTAGTTGTATTGTCTTGACCATAATACAATTTCTTAGCACGGTCCCGCACATCCTTGGCAATGTCAAGAAACATGAAATTTACACTAATCTTGGATTCCATACTGTTTCATAACCATGTAATAATTTGTGCATCCTCTTGTTCCCAGTCATCATACTCATGAGAATCAGTGAAGGGTTTCTCCTCCCTTATGTGTTTCACCTTCTTCTTTGCCTTCAAAAAAACTTCTACAGATTTAGCCCAAGGTACATAATTCTCTCCATTCAGTTTAATGGAGGTCATTTGAACATTTAGGTAGTCAATAGGTATCACCACATTAGATTTGCTATCACTGCTATCTCCCATTGCTGAATTCTGTTATTACTAAATTCGGCACACTGCACACTACTTGATCACACTAGTTTCAGCACTTGTTATTGCTGAAGATTGCACTCTTTACACCACAAACCCTACCCCACGACTACCTGAAATCTCACCACACYATATGAGGACCACTCCCCCTTCGAATCACACTAAAAACAGCATAAACCCTAGCACACTACAGTATTAAATCCCACCATACAATCTGAAACATACTTCTTATTTGATTCATAACAAAAATATGCATAGAAATCTCTTACCTCATCACCCGAAAAACAAACCACAAAAAAAAATCAGACCACACGAATCAGCCCTCTTCTCTTCATCGATTAGGGGAGGGCTTCTTAGAAACCACAGCAACCGACCATGAACAGCGCAACTGGAGGCATAGAGACCTTCAAAGGAAGAGGGCGACCACTCCTTTTCAGCCCTTTCCTTCATATCCAATCGATAGCAGAGAAATCAAGAGAAAACCCTAGACTGAGTGCGCAGAAAACAGAAATCTGGGCAGATCCGAGTTGCTTAGTTGTGGTCTGATACCATGTTATGATTCGGCCTGCCCTTGAGTTCTGTTAGTCTGATAACAGCGAAGGAGAGAGAAGAAAGAAGAAAAAAAGAGAGAGAGAAAGGAGGAGAAAAGGAGAGAAGAAAAGTCCGGTTCGAATGAGAGAAAAATTACCTCTCCCATTCGGCCAGACATGTTTTATATTACTAACATAATGGAAAAGACACATGTGCCCTTACTTAAGTAAGGGACACTAGTTCTAATATAATATTACAGATCAGCAACCTCAACATAAGTATAAAGACAGAAATACCCCTACATACTCGTCACTAACACACGATGAAAGCAACCAGTTGAACCTCTATTACAGTGAATGCATTACTTTTCCATCATTATCACAGTATCCCCTAAACCTTTTTTATGGATCTCCAAATTGGAAATTGATCTTTTATGATGTTTTCACACTCTTTTAACTTATTTATGCAATGTGATTTGATGCATTAAACCTAACATTGTTACACCTCTTGTCTAAAAAAAACAAGGCAAGGAGTAAGTGATCCCAGAAATTATCTTATTGCCTAGATGCCGCCTTGACAATTATGAATGAAACCTAATGAGAACTCAGCAAACAGTGAACAACCAATTGTATTGAGGAAACTGGGGAAAATGGATTCATGAATATATGATTGTATGTTGTAAGTTTAGCTTGTAATCGTTAAATCAATAAAAGGGCTTTGAATATTAAAGTTTTAATGATGAGCATGTACTTAGTCTAATGATTTAGCAAATCAAGGTTGTCAAAAATAATGTGCAATTGTGCATATTTGTAATTTGTAAGTTTCTAAGAAATGATGTTGAGAAATCAGTTCCGACTTTTTTATTTTTTTATTGTTATTTCTTAGTTTAAAGCTCCTTTCATGGTCTTGTAGATATTGATTTATTTGTTATTATTTATTCTTTGGTATGGGTGGTCTGGGGTATTATGGTCACTGTATCTTCTTTTATCTCTTAGTATATATATGAGAAAGAGGGGTGGCAGCAGAACCTTTTGCCTCTCTCCAGTTTTCTCTCTTCTTTTACTCTTATTTCATGTTCAATTATTTTTAGTTTTTCCTTTGCTTTACAAGACATGTAGTGACACTAAGGTGGTGCTAACTAAATCTGGTCCCTGATTTCTGAAAAGCAAAAAATTCCTGGGAACAGTTCTGAGCTCTAAGCGGTGAAGATTTGCTTTTCCTCTTTTATGGATCTCAAAATACAGTTAAGTTGTTCTGTAATCTGAATGTTATAACCACTAGGAAACATTTATTTTACAATTTTACCCCATGGATAAGTTTGTTTGATTTTTATTAATTTGTTAACACTTGGGATGTTTGATTTAGAATAACAAAAACAAAAATCCCACTTGATTTATCCAATAGAACTAAAAACTTGATTAGCCCTTTTTGCCATTGAACTCTCCTACAACACTAAGAGAAACTAATAGAACTTGATTTTCCCTAGTGGCTTCTCATTTTTACTCTTTTTATTTAGCCCATAATTACTAAAGTGCTTCTCCCATATATTTTGAACTATAAAAATGTATAAAATATATATTTTTCATTAAACCACAAAATAATCATTGATCCTTGAGGTTTACACCTTTTTATTCTTCAAGTTAAAAGGGCATATTAAATCTATAAACTGTGGATATCTTTCTCTCATTATTGTGCTTGTAAATTACCAGACTATGGTGTTCTGTTTTTGTCATGCACAGTCTATAAGTATTACATTTACATCTAATCCAGCCTTGTGTTCAAGAAATTTCCAATTCGCAGTTCACACCCATCATTTCCATCTTCCATTACTCAAGATCACACCTCATTTTTTATTAACAGAAGATGTAGCATTTGCAGTTGCACATACCTGGGGATGTTCCATGGCAAGCCGAACCATATCTTCAGGATTCACCTCCAGGGGATCATAACCCAGCTTAGCCTTTGTAACAGCCTAAAAGACAAGCACAAAAATGAATCAACAAGCACCAAAACTAGTATCAATTTAATATTCGTGATGCAATTCTAGTAGCTGGGAATCTGTCAACTGAGTAGTACGAATCTACAATATGATTTTATATATTAAAGCAGAAACAATATTGACTTGAGCCATGTGTCAAAAGTCATAATATAAATGCTAATAATGCTTGGGTACATGGAGGGTCTGATCTTCATAACTTCATAGCGTTATTAGGATTTAGAATAAACTTTACAAAATTTGAAGTCCAAGGTTTAACAACTGGGTTGCACTATCCATGTTCCTATGTGAGCTAGTCTCAGTGTGTTTGACTTAATTCATTCTGCAAAAAAAAATAAACAGGGGGAGAGAGAAAGAGATGTACCAGAATTGTTTCATGCAGTTTACTCAATACCCATAACGGTGATTCAACACATATTAGATCCATATCTTAAATGGGTGGATTAGAAGTGGATGGGTTGGGTGGGTCATGTGGGGTTGGATCAGAAATTGTTACCCATACACAACTACAACAATGGTACACTCACAACAGGATGTAATTACTGTTCTGTATTACATATGGTATCCGTAATATGATTATCACAACATGAGAAAACAAGAAAAAATATAATTACATGGCTGTGGAGGAAATTTCTCCCTCAACAGCCTTTTATCCATCTATAAATAAAATCATCACCATTTCTCAAAAAAAAAAATATATATATATATATATATATATAATTACATGATAGTTCATAGCAGTAAGAAAAAGCTGAGAATGGCAGATCTGGCTAATCACATAACCAACATAAATAGTTTAACTAAACTTTTCTAACTTTTCTTTGTCAATAATAATTTGCCTAGACATTTTCCATAGAGTGAATATGAATCTCTGACAATGGCTTGTGATCTCTTCCCGGACTTTGTTTTGACATCATTTCAATTATTAATAGCCTTGGTTTTTGAAGATGCTCAAGACTGCTATCAGTCTTGGGCACTAAGAAAATTTAGGTTCGAACAGAAGAGAAAGTGAAGAAGAAAGAGGAGAAAGAGTAGTGAGAGAGCAGTAGAACACAGGTTTGAAAGGAATGACAGATTCTCAAATGATCTGCCGCCGCCACTTCAATTTAATATTTATATGTTATGCTAGTTACATGAAAGGACATATCTGCCCTTGGTGTTTACATCATAACACTTAACAATATAAAAACCTGAAAAGTAAATAACAGAACTAGAATAACAGAATAACATAACAGATAGACTAGGTACATTCTACCCTACGGACAGAGTGGCCCCACGCAAGTTGGGCATGACAAATATCTACTCCCAACTTGAGGGGGAGTGAAGAAATAGTTGGTTAGCCATGAGTGTAGGGTTTCATACCCACACTCAGGCTCTAGTGTGTGTGGTTTCATACCCACACCTAGTTGTTTCTAATTTGTTTAATTAGTAGTTTCTAATTTTTGTTAGTAGAAGTTTCTAATTTCTGTTAAGTTGGGCCAGCTGGCCTTATTGTTTCTATTTTTTGTTTATTTCCTATTCTTGTAAGGATCCTAAAAGCTATAAATAAAGGAGTGTATTGGGTGGAAAATCATTCACCACCGAAACGCTTCTTTCTTTTCTCCTCTTTTCACTCACTCTCTCTCTCTCTCTCTTCTCTCCAAACCTATAATACAATAAACAATTCTTCTTCTTCTTCTTTCAAGTGCATTAATAAGAAAACTAAGGAATAACTAGGAGGGACATAAAAACCTTACCCCTTTGAAAAGCTATACAAAGGGCCATCAGCTCAAAAATATAAACAATAAGTCTGATGCACCCCAAATCAAAAGAACCCTTTAAGACAAAGAAAAAAAGTTCATTGTCATTACTAATAACCAGCCTTTGAATGTTGGAAGGAAGTCAACATCATCAATGTTAACTTCTAAGAGGACTGCCTGTCCTCTTTTTTCATAAAGTGGCCTTTTCTTTAGGTAAAATTATTCAATCTCAATAAAAACAAGTTAGAAAGGACTTAATCTGGATATGAAACCTTTTTCTCATACCTTTAGACCATGGCTCCCTTGAGGTAGATAACTATCACGTTTGACCCAAGCAAAGCAATCCAAATGACAAGAAAATTTAGCACGGCATTCCCCTTGATTCTTATCACATTGAAATCCCAACTCCTGCAAACTCAATGAGAAAACTAAGTATATAAAATGCATTTAAAAATGGAGTTCTAGATCACCACAAAATTAATGATTCATCGCAGATTCAAGATGCATGCAAGTAAACAATTTACATTGATAATTTGATATACAAACCATCCAATGAAACATAGAAATAAAGCATCCTATATAGAAAATTACATCCAGACACAGAGAATCACAATAAGAGAGTGCTAGAAATATTGTCAAAACATGATGCTTAGCATCAAGGTTTCTATTTTTTGTATATTCCATGAAAACCATATAACTTGAAAAAAATTGTTTGATGGTTTGGCTTCAGATTCAAAGTGAAAACGTAAACACTGCTACTGGTTGCAGCAGCCAGACTTCTGAAAGAGGAACTGATGGTAGACAGAAACTATGATCCAACCACATCCTTAATTGTTGCATATAAGAAATCATCCAGTTTCTGAAAACATTAGCTATTATTGGTTGAAAAGATTTCCGTGGAATTAATGTCCAAACACAATTTTAAAACCAAAAAGTGAACAATAATAAATGAAACAAGGAGAAATAACTGAGGGGCCAATTTTGGAATTATTATGCGTGTAAATAGATTATGGGGCATCAGCATGATAACCAAGAAAATGCCAAAAGGCCAAAAGCTAGATGCCAGCTCTTGGCTGGCAGCAATTATTTGTGTTGTGCACTCAGGCCCAATCTTCTCCCAAGATATTTAAAACTAAAAAGCAGAGAAGGATCAAGAAAACAAGGATAAATAGCGAAACATGGAGAAATGTCAATATGTATATAGACAAACTTTAAAGCATTGACATGATCATCAACACAGCTACAGCAAAACTAGTGGAAGACTCTGGGGCAAGCACTTTTCATTATATACTCGTGTACATTAAATATTTCAACAAAATAAGAATAAATCATTTGATGCAAGAAGAGAGTAAATTTGTGGAGGAAGAAACACAATAACTTGTGTTCTTCACATAGAAATACTTGAGGTACAATGGTTTCTGCAAGCTTCTGGTGAGATGTTCCATCATTGCAAGGAAGATTCTTATGGGGTAGGGCAAGGCAGAATTATTATGCCATGTATGGGTAAATTAAGAGAATGGTTTGAATTATTGGAAATTGTCTCGTAGGGATTTGTGAATGCTGATCCCAAGTTAGATGAAGTGATGAAATAGGCAACATAAGAATGGAAATATGAGCCATCCAATGGAGGTGAGAAGGTCAAATGCTGGTATGTTTCTATTTATTCTTCAAAGAAAGAACAAGTGAAAGAAGTTTTAGAATGGGAAAGTGTCACGAAACATTGAGACCATAGGAGATGATGTAGTGGTGTATGCTTTCATAGGGGTAATATTGCAATTTCGCCATTACAGATACTCAAGTAAAAAGATTAGGGATTTGATGCCATCAGATTCTCTTCTTATTTCCTCTGTATTCTCCATTTCTTTCACTCAATTCTTGCACATTTCACTTGAGCAATACCTGCTACATATTGAGAATTACAACTTGGTACAGAGCCTTTTCTCAATTCTAAGGAGCTCTTCTCAATCTTCACTCTACAACTTGGTATCGCCATGCTGTATGGATAATGTCATCTGGTGTATGGACAATACCAAGGTTTAGTGAAGGAGACTCACCTGTCTGGTAAAGGATGAAATAGAGGATCAAAAGTTATGAGAAATAATTGCTGCCAGCTCTCTGGATCGTGGATTAAGTTCAAGGATGATTTGTTGATTGGGGATGGTATTACTTGAGCAGTTATACATGTTGTGAACTGCAGATAGTATGAAGAACACTGTTGAAAGCATGTGGACCTTTGTGGAGGTGTTTGACGTTGCTTCAACCATTTTCTGCTATGTTGGTTGTGTTGAAGCATTGGTAAAATGTTCAGTGGATCTGGTTTAACATGAAGTGGCTAACTGCTCTCACAAGTAGTGTTTTTTTTTATCCTGAAATATGACCTGAAAGCAATCCATCATGTCTGGAGATGGCAGATATATTGACACCAAGGGTTTCCAGCAATTTTAGAGTCCCAAGTGAGTGCAACTGTTCAGGCATATTAGTAGCAGAGGTAACCAGGAGTATATCACCAGAAAATTTGAGGAACCCAGCAGGACGACCTCACATACAAGAAGTATGCCTCTGAAAATGTAATTATGATATCTTGGCTTCTTCATTCAATACTCCCAAACATAAGCAGTGGTTTTTTGTTCCTCAAAATTGCAAAAGAGATGGAACGCAATAATAAAGTCACTCTCAGTCAGCAGAACATTACCTGTATCTACCCATTGTGCTAGGAGAGAACCCATCCTCATTAGATTAATAATCATCTCTTAGAGCAATGTGGGAAGATATGGATCACTATCAGATTTTTAAGCCAGAGTGTTCGACTGATGAGAAAATATGGATCCTACTCAAGTATCTTGTCCTTAGGCATGATTTTTTTATAAGTATGTCCTTATGCATGATTCATCAATATCCTATCATATTAAGTGGATAAGTTGACTGTACTGATACCTTCATCCATGTTAAAATGTTAAAAAACATTAAAGAAATAGTATAACAAAAAATGTAAATTTAAAAGTAAATAGCAATTGTCAAACAAATAAGAAAAGAAGGCATTACAAGTTTTAAAAGTATAACATCATCATCATCATCATCATCATCATCATCATCTAAGCCTTGCCCCAACTATATGGAGTACATGAATCCTGTTTCGCCATTATGTTCTGTTCAGTGCCATATCTATTGTTAGATTATGAGTGCTTAAATATTTCTTACTAATTTTTTGGATAAATAATTATCTCTTACTTCTTCAAAGCATGCCCGTTTTGGTCTACCCCTAATTCTTCTAGCCCCTTCCACTTGCAACAGATCATTTCTTATGGGCATTTTGGATGATCTTCTCTCACAAGACCAAACTATCTTAGTCTGTCTTCTCTCATTTTATCACTTATTGGAGCTACTCCTAGGTTCCTTCAAATGGCTTCACTTCCGACCCTGTCCTTTCTACATTTAGAAAAAAGGAAAGTATAACAAAAAGATCAAAATTTATAAGTGTGTGACAATCATCAAACAAATAAGACAAACAATATAGACCAAATTGAAAAGGAAGGGAAGGGAAAAAAACCAACTGTGCCAACCATAGTGTTGGGAAATCAGGAAATAAAAGCTCAATGTGAAGTTATGCACAGCTTTTGGGCCAAAGCAAGTAACTTATAATGCAAAGTAAACAGTGTCATTAAAAGGAAGGATATGATCTAGTAACCAAGAAAATTTTCTTGCCTAGACAACCCAGATCTGGTCATACTTTAAACATATTGTCACTTGATTTGACCTAGATAATGAATGGGCAGCAATGAACATCACACACAAGAGAATTAGAACCACTACAGATTCCATGCAGCCAACTAATGCTTGATTTATCACCACCCATAAGAAGCATAACAATCAAAGTGGCAGTAATATGGAAATGAGAGCCTTTAGCCCTTTATTGATGTTAACCAGCTTCTGCAGTAGAAGTGTGGAAACATCTAACATAATAGGTATCTTTTTTTTTTTTTTTGATGAATGCTAACGTAATAGGTATCTTCAGTGACTGGTACTGAGCAAATAAAATGACGAGCAGACTGATGATAATGAAGGAACATACATTACTCATTATGATTCCATGATGAACTGCTCTACTTTCCAAGAATGGCCAATCAAAAAAATCACCATTGTAGGTCACATAAATACCAGGCTTCACTTCTTGCATATGGGCAAACCATTGTCTAAGGAGTTCTTCCTACAAGGAAGAATGGAAAAGTGAAAAACAGACAGAGTTTTGGAGATGGACAACCCAGATATATCTCAAAATTGAAAGAGAAAACTAATAGTTACAAATAATTACCTCATTCTTAACATTTTTCACCTTGAAACATCCTTCAAATTCTGGTTTTGGGGTATACTCCAAATCTTCTATATCCTCCCCCACACACTGAAAGAAAAATGACACACTTGAATAAATAATGCCACAAAAAGAACTCAGCTTCTTATGAGAATTTAGATATTCCAAAAAGAAATGCATGAGTGGTGCCTAACTATTATCTTAACAGTTAACAGTAAGGTTTTTATGCATCTTCTTTCCTTTCCACTAGCAACTCAGAGATCCCAAAATCTACTATTGCCCTGTCAGAGACATGATCAGTAAGTGTTTTAGGCATGGATGTCGGAAAATGGAAAAACGAAGTAGGGCAATATTCAAATAAAGAGCAAAAGATCTGTAAGTTATATTCAAATAGTAGAATATGAGAGGAAGACATTCTCAATACACAATACCAGCCTCTCCCAAATTAGGAAGCCAATACCTTATACCTCTTGCTTGATATCTGTAAGAATCATTAAATCATTTCATCCAACAAAAGAACAGAGCCAAGTTTCGTCAAAGATTACCCCAAATCTCTACTTCTAAATTCCCCAACATAATGCAATTTGAAAGCTCAAATTGAATCAAGGTCACGACAATACCTCACAGGGTTCTTTCAGTTAATTGAATCAAGGTCATGACAATACCTCAAGGGGTTGGAAGAAATCACTTATTTTGGGCTTGTTTGTAATCTATATATCTTCAGGAGAGATAAGAGAGTTTATCTCTCCTTTTCCTACTATGTACCATTCTATATTGTTCAATGATTGAATATATTTCTGTTATCGATCAAAAAAATGCACAAATAACCATGCACAAGGCACAACCCATTCAGTGCCCATCTTAAGCTCCACCAACTTACCAAGTGGCTAGCAGCAGCATGCCACCAACTAAATGAAGGCCCCCACCCTAGGATCCTCAAAATCTATTATCCATCCAACTGCAAAAGAACTAGCCAAGTCCCAGATCAAAGAATTGTACAAGGATCTAATAGAGAGTAACAAGGAGTGATCATGGGCTGGGCTTAGCACCTATGATAAGGGTTATAGCCCGGGCCCAGGACACCAGATCTATACAGACATGGTCCCCTATGTCATTAATACATTATATATTTAATATTTAATACTTATATTACGTTACATATAATATATGTATAAATATATGTTATAATTTATATAACATATAAAATTTATTCTGTGTCATTATATAATATATATATGTATAATATATCATAATCATATAATATAAAAGAAAACGTGTGTATGAAGTATATGTATATAATATACTAATATATAAATAAATTGCAGGCCAGGCCTTAACACAAACCCAGGCCCAAGCAGGCTAGAAATGATCACCCTAGAGAACATACACTTAACATCCTCCTTCCAAGTATAAGTATGCCCTTCAACATCTTTAGGAGAGACTACAAGATTTCCGAGAAAAAAATGCATCCAATATCCATCAAACAGAGGCCATCTAAAATTTTGGCACCAAATAATCACCTCATTATAAACTTTAAATTCATAATTTATTGTAGCATTGCCAAGCGATCAGAATTGATACATTTTTGGGCATTTGTCACCAAATATATATTTATAGATTCAATATATATAACCAAGTAAAGCAAATCAGGCCCATGACCTAGCATGCAGTTCCCATTGGCTACTAAAGCCTAATCAAATAGCCTATTCCAGTTGACCTACTTGTAAATTTCTAAGAGATAACATTATACAAGTTAAGGTTATACCCAAAAGGAACCCAGGCAGAACCACATATAAACCATTTTATTCTCCTGCCATGTTCATGAAAGAATATTATTAACTACACAACTTTTCATGTGTCTTGAGAGTTAACATGTTTATCTACAGTTGGGCATATGTAACTTCTGTAGTTGGTTTGACACCAATCCCAGGGTTCAAAAGGATAACGTAACTAATCTCTCCTCTTTCTTCTTACTACTTTGTCTTTTCAATTTTCTGCAATCACCATTAAAGCTTTCAAGTTTCAACGAGCTTGTAAAAGTGACCATATCTTTGTCCTCAAGAATTGTAAAGCATCAAAAACTCTACCAGCCCCCATTTTCAAAAACCTAATGCTTTCTCCATTCCGAAAAACCAAAAAAGAGTTAACCACAAAGAGTCTTCATCTGATTCCACGCATTAACATCCATAAAACAAGGAAACCATTGAAGAATCTCTGTGATATTTTCAGTGTTCATCAGTAGTGGGGACGACCATTTATAGCCCAGCACCAGCCGCATCAAGCCCAGAGATTTGCAGGCTGGGCCTGGGCCCAATGTGTGTTTGCATGTGTGTTAGTTTATATTGTATTATATATTATATATAAAATATTATAATATGACACATATAATACATATTATATAAATATTTGATATCATATATGGTATGCCATCCCCCCCAAAACCTTGGTGGCAGTGGGATTTGATATCAGGTCTCTACTCCAAAGAGTCAGAGATCCTACCAACTGAGCCACCATCAGTTGGTATACATATATTTTGTCTTAAAATATAAAATATTGTGCACATTTAATATATTGTATGTAAAGTTATAGAGCCACAATTCATCAAAAAGTTATAGAGCCAGGGCCCCAGGCCCAAGCACTTATCATGGGTGCTAAGCCCAGCTTGGTCTGGCCCATGCTCACCCCTAATAAATAGGGTGCTCAAAAGGCATTCTTCATGAAAGGAGTGAAAATAAACTTCCTCTTGCAAATTGCTCTTCAATTTACTTATCAAAAAAAAAAAAACTCTCTTCAATTTCTTCTTTTGATTCTTTGTCATCACCTTCTTAAATCCATTTGCATACTAGACCTAGAAAAAACTGAAATTACAAAATTACCACTATCACAATAAAACAAAACAACTTAACAAATTAGTGTGAAATTTAAAACACAAACTATGACTAGAAAAATCAAGCTACTAGACCTGAAGACCCCCCCCCAGACACATTATGGTTGACAAAGGCCAGAACTTATCAATTTATGCTAATGGCATGAATCATGTTAATCGTCTTGAGATCACATCTATATTCAAACTTCTGTATTTTATCAACTGGTACTATCTTGTATTGATTTCTATAAATTATAAAGCACTATGATGCAATAAGCATCAAAACTTTGTGGTAATGTTCAAGTAGTATCTGTACATCTCTAGACAAATTGAAAATCTTACAAACCTGTTTCACTTGACTTGAAAGTGAAACTTGTTGAGAATTTCTGTGAGGGGAAAACAGCATAGGATATTCCAAAAAGAAACATCAAAACCATTGGATCATATCAATTGTAGGAGGTTGGGCAGCTAGGTTACCACTTCAAGCTTTCAGGATGCGATTTTCTTGCTTTTTTGTGTAATATCACAGCTATGAGTTTTTTTTTATGAATGATAATAAATTTATTAATTCAGAAGCAGATTTAGAGTGAGTTCATACAACATCCCAAGGAGAGGCGCGAGCTGCAGCCCCTCCTTGAATCTTACAAGTAAACTAG